ATTAATAGTCTGTAATACATATCGTTCTGCCTTGAGAATTTCATCTTCCGTGTAACCTTCTTCTGACATATATATATAATTTTTGATGGATGGGGCCAACCCTTCTTCATATTTGGCTGAAATAAAAAGTGCAGCGATACCTACAAGTTGCAATTTGACCATAGAAGCCAAACTTTCAGACAAAAACCTATCAACTATGTTGACTGTTAAGAATAAAGTTTCAGGTAATAAACAAAATCTGTAATGAACTTCAACAAGCCAGTCAATGAGGATCGTTCTCATCTTCCAATTTAATTCCGTTTGAAGTTCCATATAATTAGGTTTTGGCATTGTTTCCCTCTATTAATTAATACATGGAGCGAAGAGAAATTATCCTATAATTAATTATGTGATCAAATGTATTATTCTCTAAAAGAAGACTTAAACAATAAAATTATAAAAAGTTTTGTTTAATTTTATTATAAAAAAAAAAAGTTATCATTCTCTAAAAGAAATATAGATAAATCATACTTCTAAAAGTTTCAAATAATCAAAAATTTCCACTGCATACTCTGCCACCATCATGGGATCACTCATATCCTCAAGATCGAGATCATCCCATTCTTGAGTTCTTATTTTTTTTGCACGAGTTTTTTCTAATTCAGCTTCATAGATTTCAGATTCTATGGTCGTAACTAATACTGGATCCGTAACCACACAGGGTTCGTTTTTATTTGTAGTGTTAGTTGTTATTGTAGATATTGCTTGTTTTGTGTCCTTGTTTCTATTGCTTTTGTTTGATTCTTTTCTGAGATCTTTGATCCAATTGGTTTATGTTTACTTATTGCAATAGCTTTTGAAGTGATTTGATTAATTTCTTCTATTTTTTGCTTCTTCTCAACCACATTATTAACATTTTGTTGATTTTTTAATTGTTGTTGTTGTGCAACAGTCGCAGCAGTCCTTTTTTTCAAATTTGTTGTTGTTGTGGACACCGTTGATGTACTTGCAGGAATTGGCCGTTTTGTAGGTAAAATGACATTATCACTTCCTAGATTT